CTCAGAAAAGTCCAGAGTTCTTGCACAGCACAAAACAAAAACGATGCTGCAAAGGTAACGGCTCCCCAAACAAAACACACAAAGATAAAGAAAAAAATGTCCGGTGGTATTCCCTGCTATTTTCTTGCACGTGATGCTGCAAAGGTAACGGCTCCCCAAACAAAACACACAAAGATAAAGAAAAAAGAATGTTCGGTGGTATTCCCTGCTATTTTCTTGCACGCGGGTTTCCGTCTGCTCTCAGGCTCTTCTTTTTCTTAAGAATGCTCGATGGTATTCCAGATGTGTATAAGAGACAGCTCTCTCTCTCTCTCTCCATCGAGAGAGAGAGAGAGAGAGAGGCACCGGAGGTACCATTACCATCCCTCCTCCCTCGCCCCGTCCTCCATTCCTGCCTCGACCCTCGCTCCTCCCTCCCTCACCTCTGCCCCATCGGCCCTCCCTCCTTCCTCCCTTTCTCCTTCTTTCTTTCCTCCCTCGCCTTCTCCCTCCTCCCTCCGGTGGCGTTACCTTCCTCGGCCCTCCGTCCTCCCTCGCTTCGTGCTCCCTTATCTGGGGACGATATAGACAGTGCATTCCGTTTTTCTTAGCTTTCTCAATTTGCGTTAAGGCTTAGAGCCACATTGTTTTTCAATGTGAATAAGGGCGAAGCGTCATTTGTCCATGGTTTGCATGTACATTAGTTTTCACTCCCGTATTCTTATTCCCAGATACGTGTGGTAATGATTTTTTTTTTTCACATTCCCAGATTCTTGTTTAGCCTCTTTCTTTTTTCTCTCAGATTGTTATGTACTAGCAGCATTAAAGCAATAATACAATAATTAGTATATTGAGTAATGCAGCTTAGCCGCTTTTATGTATCGTAAGGACCACATAAGCGAGAGTTTCTATTCTCTGTCGGTCCTAATACTTAGTAGTATAGACTATGGAGTAGTTAAGATTATGTCTATAGGCTATGATATAGCGTAATAGACTCGCGGGGCATTACGATACTATTCGCGGGCCATTATGACACTATTCGCGGGTCATTATGATATCACTATCTCGTTCGTGTTGTGCGGTGGTAGTCTTTGAGAACGACGATGAAAATAGAGCAACTGTTCGACCATCACGTGGACTGATTCAAGACGACTTCAGGTTTCGATCTGGTGGAGGTACCCACCATCACGTGGAGTGATTCAAGACGAGTTCTTGTTTTGATCTGGTGAATGAATGCTGCTGAAATGCCGTCAAGATGCATCCTGTTTGAAATGCCGTCAAGATTCAGCATGCGAAGCGTCAAGATTCAGCATTTCGTCAAGATTCGATCTGGTGGTGGTCCCCACCATCACGTGGGACTGATTCAAGACGACTTGTTGTTTGAAGTGTGTCATTACGATTTCCATGCGAAGCGTCATTTGTCCATGGTTTGCGTGTAGATTAGTTTTCACTCCCGTATTCTTATTCCCAGATACGTGTGGTAATGATTTTTTTTTTTTTTTTTTTTTTTTGTTTTTTGGTAATGATCTGAGTTCTCG